AAGAAGTGTATCGTAAGACAAGGACACACAGCGAAAAGTAGTAGGAGGAACATATAACAACGAAATCACAAGAGGGAAAAAAAATATAGATATATCATGACGAGAGAAGGAGAGAAAAAAAATACATAGTTAAAACGAACAATAATCAGCAAGAATAAGTATATTGAACATACGAAGATGAATAGATAAAAGCCTGATAGTACAATCAAGAATGTTTTTTTAACGTGGAATTCACAACCTTAATTAGAGAAACGATTCTGGGAAGTTTTGGAGGAGCTCTATCTCTTCCAGCTCATAATAAGGGATTGAGATTGTGGGGGAATTGTCAGCAGTCCACTTCACACATTTCTCCAAGACCGAAACATTCTCAACATACCTCTTAGAAACTCTCAAACATTTAATTGAAAACTCCCTCTGCCTCCAGGACTGTCTAAACTCGTTCAACGAAGCGCGTTCGAAAAGCAATTCTCCATCGACTGAGTCAGCTAACGCTATAAAATATTTACTCCAATACCTAACACCTCTATCCATAAGAGATAACTCGTTAAACACATACGCAACGAACAAATCACTCCATCCTAGACAGAACAATATTCTTTTTAAACATGTGTAGTAAAAATGGCCGAGTTCATTGCATTGATTCTCAGAGAAAAATGGAAAAAGTGGATACAACCAGGTAAAAAGTGGTAAGATATAAGAATTAAACAGGGCTCTTCTTAGTGTAACAGACGTCTTACCTGTAAATCTAAATGAATTTATCATTGCTAATCTCTGTCTTATTTTCAACTTAGCTTTATTCATCATCTTTTCCCATCCGAGCTTAGGTGTTATCCAGTACCCTAGGTACTTAAATTCTTTTATCCATTTTATTTTATTTTTATTTATTTCTATTTCAAAGGGCGCTACGCCGATAGCTCTAGCACTCCACAACCCTTCCGTTTTTGAATAATTAATGGGTTGTACCGTGAGAAGACAATAGTATTCAAGTTGATCCACGAATAATTTGAGCTTTTTCTCAAGATCTAGACATTGTTTAGAGTACTTTATCCCAATTTGACCCGCTAGTATCGCCGCCAGGTCATCAGCAAAGAAGTGTGATGTACACCATGAAAGAAAATCAGGCATATCAGCATGGTATGAAATAAAAACAGTCGGGGTTAAAATTCCACCTTGGGGTCCACCTTTTTCAATGTTAAACCATCTCGATTTTTCACCGTTGATTTCTATATAACCTCTTCGATTTTCAAGCCAGGCTTTAATCCACTCAGTATACGCTAAAGGAATTCCCATTTGACGAAGTTTACCGATGCAGCCTTCATGCCACAGCATGTCGAAGGCACTTTTAAAGTCAACGAATATTGTCGCGATTGGAGAGCTGTTCGACATGAGACTATATACATCATCTAGAAAAACTAGTAGCCTCGTCTGTAATCTAAACCTTTCCCTGAAACCGGATTGGTTATTCGGAAGTAAACCTCTTCTATTCAGTACGTCCCGAAATCTCGTCAAAAATAACTTCTCACCCACCTTTTGGAAGGAGTCTAATAGTGAGATAGGACGAGTTAGAGAAGGTGAACATATGGATTCTTTCTTTGCCAATAGCATTATCCTGGTGTCTTTCCACGCGGTCGGCAGAATAGCCTTAGAGAAAGAATTGTTAAAGAGCTGTAGAAGTAGTACCCAGTGCGAAGAATGCAAGAACTCAAACATAAAGTTGCACAACCCGTGCGCGTCCAGAGATTTCTTTTTTTTCCTAGCATTTACTGCTTGAATGAGTTCATCAAATGTTACTTCCGGAATCGGTTCATTTTTATTATCAAAATCTGTCCATGGTGCGTCTACGTAGGGATGTGGTCTTACTATATTATCTGACTTTCGAAAAAACTCTTCGTAAAAATCAGCTGCTATCTCACACATTTTGTTTGAGTCCGTTACTACTTCACCAGAAGGAGCGATAAATGCATTAAGAGAAGAAGAAGCTGGTTTTATAAACCGTTTAGTTTTCGACCAGAAAGAGACAGAGATAGAGGAAGATGTATGTCGGAGTTTAAGAGTGATAGATAGCTGAGAAGAGACAATTTTACGGAGAGCATTCCTTGCACATTTTCTTAGGTACCGTACATGATTTTTTAACTCAATATTTTTGGTTCTCATTTGACGAAATGATAGAGCTCTTACATAAGACAAGAAACTACGCAATTCGGCAGGAATTGCTACTCGGTACTTGCTTAAAGGGAAGAAGATTGTACAGCGAGCTGAAAGAAGTCTAAGAAATTGAACATAATCATTATAAGTCATATCTAAGTTATTCAAGGACCAATATTTTTCCCAAAAATAAAAAGTATATTCTGTAACCAAATTGAAAACTTTCCAATGAACTGTTTGCCCTTTGACTGTTTCTTTTATTTTCGTCGAAAGAACTGACAGGATAGGATAATGATCACTAGTGGTGTTACCCTTGTAAGTTTGAATATCAATCTTCGCACTATTTGAAAATGCATAGTCTATAACTCTGTTTGACCGAAGTGAGGTGGGATTATCAGGAGTGAATGGAGCTAAGAAATACGAATCAGCCCAGTTCAACAAGCCAACGGCTTTACTTCCATCTTGTTCCAGATCAACATTGAAATCACCATATATGACACAATTTTCAGACAAAAGGGGAGAAATCTGCTGCCAATTCCAAGAACGACTTTCTGAAGCATACACACCCACGATTCTAATTTCTTCTTCAGACTTAACATCAACAACACAAACATTAGGTAGCGAACATTCCACACGTTTGACCTGCATAAAATTTCTCACCATTACTAAAACTCCACCAAATTTATTTTCACCTTTTTGATAGAACATTCTGAAATTAGGAAAAGTCTGGGCATAGAAAGATAGATCAATTTCGCCTGTCTCCAAAAGAACGAGAACGTCACTGTTGAAAGAATTAGCGAGAAGAAGGACTTCGTGCCACCTTAGCTCTAGGCCACGTACATTAAACGATAAGACATGAACAGGAGAAATACTGGTGTGACCAGGTGAAGAAGTGAAATTTTTCCATAAAGAAAAACAAGAAGTTAAGAGTGGACAACTTTCCCACTCTGCGAGAATAGAACAGAAAAGCTTATGATCGAAAGGAGATAAACTCTCCTTGGATCTAGATAGAAACTGATCTCTCCTACACGTGAATAAAAAATTAGAACAACTGAAAAAAGGTATTGCTAAGGGTGAAAGAGACATTAATTAAAGATTTTACTTTCACTTGTTTTTGCTACTTGGGTTCTGTAGAGTTCAAATCTACTTTTAACATCAGCATCTAAGGGTCTTCCGCTGTTGTCTTTATTCATAACAATAATAAATTTCAAAATATCTTCTAATACTGGTAATAACAATTGTTTTAATATATCATCATTTCGTTTCGTTAGATTATCCTGTGTAATAGTTTTTGTATTCAGTAATATTAAATCATTTTCAAATTTTTTATCTAATATTTTAAGATGTTCAATTTCTTTGATTATCATCATATCATGTACATTTTTATCCACTATGAATTGTTCAAATTTCCTGTTAGTTTCACATAGTTTTCCTAATGTAACATTGACTTGAGCTAATCCATTAATTACATCGTTTAATTTTGACATCATTGGATTATCTACCTGTGGCCACGATGAAGTAATAGGTGGAAAATCAGAAGGATTATATTGATGATTGATCTTGTTGTTCGTTGTTGGTGAAAATGGTGCTCGGTTATTATTGTTAGACAATATTTTTCTTGTTAGTTCAGCACGAAAATCTTTCACCACCGGACATTTCATTGAATTTGACGTGTGATCACCATTACAGTGTTTACATTTTGGATCTGATGAACAATGGTGTTCTTTTAAATCTTGAAATGTTTGGCTACATGTCCTGCAGGTTTCTGATAATTCTGGACATTGTTTACGAAAATGTCCTAGACCACAACATTTCGAACATATCAAGACATTGATTGGTGCGAGATAATGGTCGATATCATAAGTAATATAATTAATTATTAACTTTTTATCATCTAATATATCTTGTCTAACTTTAGTTGAAGTTAATTCAATTTTTACTAGTTTAATATTGTTTCCGAATTTGTTCTTCATTCTAATGACATTCTTCACTTCGGGATATAAATTTTTGATTTCGAAAGAAAATTCATCAAAATCGATATTTAAATTTACATTTTTGATAATTAGAGACAGTTGAGGAGGAATTGAAGCTAATGAAGGAAAACAATAGTCTTCACCGGCAATTTTCGTTGGCCATTTGGTTTGATCTAACAAAAATGCAAAAGAAGTTGAATCTTTTAAATAAAGTAAAATGTCCAATTCATTGTTATTGCATTTAAAATTTGATGTACGACAGTTCGCAACTTCAATATCAAATTGATAAACATTCTTGACATGTTTGGTGATTTCCTCTTTAACTTGATTAACTGTTACCGTTTTCGAATTAAAGCGAACGATATGTGGAGGAAACGGGTATCTTGTCAACGCAAATCGAGTCGAGGCTGTTGTTATATTTTGTTGTTGACGACTTTGTTGGATATTCATATCGTTTGTACTTGTAAGAGGAGTAATGGGACGTGATGCATTCATTATCAAATTATTATTAACAACTGGGTTAACGTGCTGTTGACGATGTGATAATTGTGAACGATTGTTGTGATGCATCAGATTGTTTAATTGTTTACTCTTTTTGTGTGAAACTGTTTGAAAATCATCATCATCGGAGACATTAGAATATGAACGACGTAACGAATGTGCTGGTGAATTTAATAAGTCCATGTTTGTAGCTATAGGTGGAGGAACATGTTGTTTATTGTTCGAGTTCGAGCTGAAATAGACCTTTGAATTTGGATCATAACGCGAACTTGAACATTGACATTGTTGATTATTATAACAGTTGTGTGATGGTTCACCTACTAAATTATCCACCATGTAACAATTTTTCTGTTTATTATTAGTGTGAACCGTGTCACCCCTTTGACGATAATTAGCCATTTTTTGACTAAATTACCGAATTTTAGGTGCAAATATATATATAGCACACGCTCACTGCGTGATTATATATGTATAGTAAGTGTAAAGAAAGAAAAGACAAAATACGTCCGATCAGTAGGCAGCGAAGAACGAAAAAGACATGAAAGATGCTTCTATTCGTTTGTTCTATTTGTCTTCTTTCTCCTCATGCATTAGGTGGCAGTATTAATCGATTTTACCGTCAAGCAAATGGATGTGGACCAGTAAACTTGAACATTGATATATTGCTTAAAGAAATCGGTGAACATGTTTTGATTGAATGTTGTAATGAACATGATCTATGCTATGATCAATGCGGTAAAACACAGTTGACATGCGATACTACATTTCTACATTGTATGCTTGAAGCATGTCAACAATTGTTATTATCATCAAATATAAATCATTGCCAAAATGATGCTCGTATTCTTTTTTGGTTTGTATTTGTCGGCGGGCGATCTGCATATGAACAAGCACAGCAAGAACACTATTGTACCATATTAAAACAAGAAACAAATGATACATCTATTGAAACTGTGAAATAAGAATAAATTTTAAAGAAAAGTTCTATTATTTAAGAATCTATTTTATTCTTTGAAATAAAACACGGTAAAATATCTTTAATCAATAAATTATTGAAATCTATATTGCTATCAATCTGTAACTATAAAATATATACTATATGATTTTGAGGATACTTGCAAAGAGAAGTTCTAAACAAATGACTTTCGCTTTTCATCAATGCGATAGAAGTTAGACGAGTGAGATTGCAATATCAAAACTTAGCCAATATTATATATGATATGATTTTCAATGAAAACGAAGTATCTCATGTCGAATCAAAGCTGAACGATTGATTCAGTAAAAGAAGATAAATAGAAACAACAGTTATTTTATAGTTTCAATAGTCATATAAATGACAAACATGCATGACACTCAAGAACAAATTTATCTAGACAAGATCTTGATTGAATAAAAATATTTGGCTCTTCTATGCATGTTGTATTACTTTAGAAGGTAACTGATTTTATTTTCTGATGCTTGTTGACAATTATTATTCACCGATGTACTTTTATGGACTTACGTTCAAGTGGAAAAAGTCGATTACCCACTTGTTCATGTTCAATAGAATTGAAATACATCTCATATGTTATCAGTGCTGTATAATATATACGATACTTTCTTCTACGCTTCATTGTACAGTTCTGTTTAGGAATAATATTGATCAGATATTACAATCAAAAAGGCTTGTAACAATAATAAAACATCTACTTGAATAGCATTCTTTAAAGTATAAAAAGAAAAACATCAATGAGAAAGAAGAGAAAGGATTATAAGGGAGATCGATTAGAAAAAAATAACATTGACATATAGGTGGTCGATTTATTGATCTTTTGATCATATTTTTCTTTTTTTGAGGAACACAGAAAAACAGCTGGTGGCAGTTAGATTAACCATGCAACAGGTGGACAAGTGTGTCGTCGATCTATCGATCAATCTATATCCAATTTAATGGACAAAGAGAAACACAAAATGGGAGTCGATTAATCGCGCACATTATAACACATTGATCAAAGCAAAAAAGATCTTCCTTCGTTAAAAGCATCGTTAATCTGCATAATGACAATCAAATAATAACTGTACTTTTTTTTCTAATTTCTCTTTATCAATTCATATATGAGAAAGATACATCATAATTAATGAATTAGTTGTATCATTGATATAAATGTCTCTCAAACGATTTCTTTTTGTTTTCGATTCGTCAAAAATGTCTTCTATTTGAATTTGCTCATATTTAATGATAATATCTAATCGATTACTTCAATGATGATTTTTCCACTTTCGAAAAGTGTTATAAATATGTAATTGACATTTTAGTATCTATTCTCTCGATTAAATCGACTTGGATGAAGGTAAGAATATTTGTCATCGGATAGATCAAAAGAAAAGTAAAGCATCTTACTCAAGTGATTACTTTTTGAACATAAACACAAATGACTCTTTCATGATTCAAATTCACTTCATTGTTATTCATGCTCAATTTTTCTACGTCTATTTTTCGAATACAGAAATCAATTACTAAACATTGGTATTCGTATTAATCAAAACAAAAAAAACAAAAAAAAGAAGACATAGTTGAGCTAATCTGATCTATCTCGTTTAGTAATATCGAAGTAAAAACCCGTAGACAAAAGATTCAAATGAGAAACCGTCTCTCTATTTTACTTTCGCCGAATTTTTATAGTTTTTCTATTAATGTTGATGAATAACACGATGGGTATGGAGATTTCATAGATGACGTTGATGTATGTTCTGTACAAAGATGTTCAAGTAAATGAATATGATTTGTAAAGCGTTTTCCACAAAACCCATTTGAAATATTTGAATCGATCCAATTACAAACAAAAGGTGATAGGAATATTGAGTCCGTAAAATAAGAAGATTGTTGACAAGACGACGAAAAGGATGAATTAAGTAATGGTAATGTTGACAATAATGATAAATCGAACGTTGGCAAAGAAATTGCTTTATTTAAATGATAATTAAATAATGAATCAAACATAATTGATGATTGACAAAAATGAGATAATGGATGAATAACACTTCTTTTAATTGTTTGTGATGAAAAGGTTGCTGGTGCTGATCGTTTTAAAGATTTTCTTACTTCTTGTACTTGTGGTGAATTTGATTTTCGTAGTTTTGACGGAAGTAGATGAGATGATGATGATGATGATAACGATGGTGAACAATTTAATGTTGATGACAATTCTTTACCGATGTTATTACATGCTTGAGCCATCAGTACTAAGGGATTTTCTTTTTGTGATGAATATTGATCAATCTATTTGATTAGGAAAAATAATTATATTCATTTTCTTTTTTCTACAAAAAAAAACTTTTTGTACTGTCGGATTGATATATTCGCCATAAAGCTGCTGTGCTTTTGTTGATGTCGCCATCAAAGATATGTCTGCTACGTATATAGATAGAAGAGTAAATGATCAGTGATCGACATTGAAGAAAAATACCCGAAAGAGAGAGAGAGAGAGAGAGAGAGAGAGAGAGAGATAAACTAGCGTATTCGAAGGAGAGTGTACGATAAATCATAAATTACGATTACCGTGATTGAGAACAAGCGAGCATGAATGATTTGTTAACAACAACATTTATCGATTTTCTTTTTATCCAATGTAGAATTTCATTAAGATTTTTTTCTCCCTATTAGTGACTATTCTATTACCAGTTTTAATGATACATAAACAGTTTGATTCAAGAATATTATTTTGACATATTTCTTTCATCTTTGTTATTTCAAATTCATTGACGAAAATTAAAAAATCATAAATCTCATTTTAAGTATATGTCGTTATCAGACATTGATTATTTAAATCTGCAAGAGAGGGAGAGGCAGAGTGACAGAATTTTTAGAATTGTTGTAACGTGACCAAAACATTAAGCACCGATTCATTGTTACTTGTACGAACACGTTCCATACACAAGTTTCTTTCATCTGTTAATGTCGACATATATACAAGAAAATAAATGTTTTGAACGTGTGAGAAAGAACATTATTTCAATAGATCAAAGAGATCAAATTTGTGTTATCCATGATTAATGATATACGTATAAACATTACATTTCAATCTGTGTCAATCGGGTAGTATTAAAGAGATACTTAGATCTGATTAAATACATTTTATATTAGGAATCAGATAATCAACTAGAAAGTATTAAAATAACATTGAAGAAAATGATTTATTATTTTGTTTCATATGAACTAATTGCATCATTTATCAAAGCTATTCAAAAGAAAAACACGTCAAAATATCATTCATCATTGATCAAAATCGAATATATTTGGCATATTTCACATTGAAGATGAATAAATAGATAATAAAAATGATGAAAGGAATTTAGTGATTGTCACTATTGCTCTTTTCGATTTGAGACAATATTTTCCTATAGAAAAATTTATTTATCTTTCGAGGAGAAAATTTGTTGTCCCTAAGTTTGATCTGTCACAAGTTCATGTTGACTTTTGTCGGTTTGAAAAATAAATAAATGCGGAAACATCGGATTCGCATCCGATTGTTATGTGTACTGCAAAAACTGAGTCGATTTATATATGTTTAGAATAATTCTGAGAAAAAAATCCCTGTACCCCCCTCAGGGATGGTCTGGTCAGTAATGACAATTTTTTCAATAGCTCAGTCATTTCTTGACGGATCCTTCTCACTTTCGAACTCGACTGAGATATTGATGAGATCATTCTGTGTACAAAATGTCAAGACAATTGGATGAGGCTTTCAAGAGTTATCGTGTTAACGGCTGGACGGACACACTGACCGAATCTAGTGTACTCACTTTTTGAGTACACAAAAAAGAAAGGAAATATATTTTCATTATTGATGTGAGTAATAAAAAGAAAAAAAAATCTTTTCCTATATTAGAATAGAACGACTAAAATTTCGCTATTTATATAGAATACGATAGAGTTTCATTCTAATCCTTTACAAGATACGATGTGACTATGAAGAATTTGTTAATAATTCGTTCAAAATTATTCTTTTGATTCAATACTGATATTTAATAATTATCAGGTATTGTTTTTTTCATCGTTTTAATAGTCGATTCTTGTAAATTATTTACTATTGGACTTAATAGTTTTTGTGTAGTTGCTGTCGTTCTTGCTACTGCTGATAGAGAAATAGTTTTTGATGAATCCTCATTAATAGTTGACATAATATGTCCTTTAATCCAATCATTATTTTTAATATGAACAATGGTAGCACGAATTTTAATATCAGGTTCGAGTAAAGATGAAATTAATTGTTTACATTCCATAGATAAAGGTTTATAACGACTAAAATGAATTTTTTTCTCTAGTTGACATCGTACAAGTTTTCGTATGTTTGAATCATCAAAAGGCATCGAACTATAATTGATTTTCGAAAAATAAAAATAAAAATAAAAAAATAGGAAACTCAAAAACAAAACATAAAATCTAACCCATAGACCATTATATATAAAATGACTCCACATGACCATATATCAGCTGGAATAGCATTGTAGGGTATACCTAAAAATTGAAAAAAACAACTGATGAAAGTACATGATATTTATTTTCTACTTACCTTGAAGAATTTCACAAGAAGCATAAGCAGCTGAGCCACAATATGTATGAGATAATTCGTTAGTTTGTATGACTCGTGCAAAACCGAAATCAGACAATTTAACATCAAAACTTTTGTCTAATAAAACATTTTCACATTTCAAATCACCTTTTTAAAATAATACGAAAAAAAAATTGCATATCTATACAATGAAAAAAAGTTCCATTTACGATGAACTATATTTATTTGATGTAAATAATCTACAGATGATATTAGTTGTGTAAACATTTTTCTTGCTTTATCTTCATCTAATCTTCCAATCAATTTAACATAATCAAGTAAATCAGTTTTAGCTAATTCCATGACAATGCACAATTTATTGCCATATGAAAATATATCATAAACTTGAATAATATGCGAATGATTTATTTGTTGTAATATTGATAATTCACGCGGTAAAAAATGACGTTGAAAATCAGCTGGAGCTTTACGTCGATTGATTATTTTAATAGCAACTTTATGAGATAATTGTTCACTATAAGCTGATTTAACTTTTGCATATGTGCCAGTACCAAGTGTTGAACCAACTCTTAAACCAAAATGTGCTAATTCAAGTTCATCATTTGTATTTAAGAACATTGAATGATAATGATCACTGATCAAACTTAGTACCGTAGAATCTTTTTTGAAAGTATTTGAACGTAATGAAGAATTCGTAGTCATTAATTTATTAATGAATCATTATTAATATAATATGTTCAATGTCCAAGAGCTCGTTTTACGCAAACTGAAATGAATAATAATACAAGGTATACACTGCTGTACTATACAATATGAACTATTCGACACAACTTAGTCTTTGTTTATAGCGCCATCAAACTAGTTACAATATAATATTATGTATAATATATATATATATATTCAAGTTTCTAAAGATTTATTTATTGAAATTCATATTAGCAGTTTTTTTTATACGAGTTGAGGCTTCTATAAATGACAGATAATTTCAAAGTTTTCATGCTATTCGCAAATCCATACCGTCAACATAAGATCATGTTAAATTGATTTAAATTTGTGTGAGATCTTGAGTGTATGCGTGTATATACGTAAATAGTTCTAGATAGAAATTCTTTTGTAATTCAAAGCTCTTTCATTCATCACACTTTTTCTGTACACTCCTCCTGTGACTATATTGACGTTTTCCAAAACATGTAAATTATAATGAGAATATATTGCCAAACATAAATTTATTCTACAATTTAGTTAGTATGCTAGCAAAAAGATCATTGAAAAATATTAGTGACGTATTATTTTTCAAGATTGTTCCGTAGTAAGATAGTAAATAAGTTCAAAAATGTTATATTTTGCTTTCTATTACCAATCATTATCAACATTTGATAACGATGGCTAAAAAGTAATTGCATACATTTCGTGTAGTTTGTCATCTTCATTGTCTTACATTATTTTTCTTCTGTTCATATATAGATTCTAAAAGATCTCATACATTAATTCTCGATGCAATCTTTTAATTGCAATGTACTCTCTATGGTCATATATAATAGCATATATGAATTTTCTATTGAAGCTCACATGGTTCGTTCTATTTCTTATTCTATTGATTGAAAACACATTTAATTGGTATTTATGTTTGACCCTGATTTTAATAAATTCATAAATCATCGCTGTAATTCAACTATCAACTTTAAGTTCTCTAAGCATATTTTCAGAAAACTATCATGAAAAATTCGAATATAAACATCGATTTCTTTTAGTTTGATATGATGACGTATTTCATATTTTGATCTATTTTTCGAAACCTCGCCATATGTAGCTTAGAGAAATAAATTTTAATATGAGTTTTAGATTCATTAATTACTTCCTTTTTTTACTACTTGATATTTTCTTTAGAACTACAAATGTCAATATTAATTTTAATTTTAAAATAAATAAAAGAAAAAAAATGGATAACAAAAAGAAAATAACTAGTATAATCCAAATAGAACTAGAAAAAAAGAATTAACACGACTCTCCGTTATTATTTTGCTCTCTCATTTTATATAAATGCCACATCGATTCAATTTTATAAATTCTTCCGGCGCAAAAAACGAACAACTGCTCGAATGGTTTAAATCTTCTTAAATTTCCCCAAAAACCAAAACCAGAATTCGATATAATTGATACATCGCATAGTTCTCCTAATAAATGAAAATCCGTTAAAAGTTTATCTTGTTCACGGCAAACTTTTTGGCCAATATTTAATGAACGATCGAGATGTGTTATTTCGCCAGATACATAAAGAAGACGAGAACCATAACGTTGTCGAGCTTCATCATATACTTGTTGATTATCAGTTGTTAGAAAAATTTCAGAATTAATATTAGAATCGTTTGAATCAATAAAGGAAAAAATGGATTCACTTATATTGCGACGACCTGGAAGTAGCTTATCATCGGGAATTGTTGGGTTTTTTCCTAAAATTATAATAGAAATATTATTTTGTTTGTTCATTTCATTTTCAATTAGGTTATTAAAAACATTTTAGCGTTTATTTTAAGATCTCAAGTATAAACGATAATATGAACGAGTTAATTATTTTGAATGAATATCACAATTACTCTCATGAAGCCGGAACGTGCAACCTCTGCGTGGTATGAGAGAGAAACTTAAAGATATCTTTAAGGCCAATGCGCGTACGCAGAAACTATCGGGCAGCAGCGATAGTGGATTGCTACGAAGTACTCGGACTGCGCTGAAGAAGGAAATGGTAAACCACTTCAGTATTCTTACCAAGAAAATTCAATGA